TTTTAATTTGTACAGGTGGCATCTGTGAATTTCCACGTTATTTATAGTATTATTTATATAAAATATACTTCAGTGATTCTGTTAATTAACGTACACATCATCAAAAATTTAACGGAAGGACTAAAAAGGGGCCGGATTTATGAACAGTAAGGATCAAAAAGGGCATTTTTTCAGTATAGGGACTAAAACAGGGCTTTTTCCTATAGTAGAGGGACCAAAAAGGGTATTTAACCATAAGATAAAATATGTAGAAATCCGATCTTTTGTCCATTGCCGAGAGCCGATGCAATGAAGACATGTAGAAATATGTAGCCTTTTACCCATTACTAGAGGCTAAATGAGATAGCAAATCTGGCCCTCTGTCCATCACTAGGAGTTGTGTAGATGTAATAGGATCAACCCGTTGTTCATTGATGGGAACCAGTAATAGAGTATGTAGAAATAGATGCTTGGTCCGTTGTCCATCACGGGGAGCTATACAGATCAGCTGATTGTCTTTTGATGGAAGCCATTAGCAAAATAGGCTATTTATCCATTATTGGGAGCCGAAAAAGATGTAGCAGTAAACATGGTTGTAAAAAACGTCCAGCCATGTTGTGGAGATAAATGTAGCTAGAAAGATGTAGCGGTAAATATTGTTGTAGAAAACATGACTTGTCAAAAACACCCCAACTGATGAGAACCCCAAAGAGAACAATGATACCCTGAGCACGACAAGGAATTTCTAAACTCCAGGAAAGCTAAATCAGATTTATAATAGGACCTTGACCCGTTGTTTATGTCGCAACAAGAACCAAAGGTTCCTTGACCCGTTGTCTATGATGCAACAAGAACCAGAGGTATAAAGTTGGTTGACGCCACACCCTTGAACGATTAAGAACAAGAATGATAAGTCAGGTTAGAATGCCATAAGAATAATCTTGATAAGTTCTGTAAAGTTCTGAAACGAACCAAAGAGAAAAGTCTCTCAAAAACTCAGATTCAATCGCCTCCCCAATTAGGGTTACAAGCCCCTTTAAATAGGGAAAAGTAATTCTAATCAAAATAGGAAACTAACACCCTAAGCCCTAATCATAATAACCACGAATTGGGCCTTAAATAAAAGAATGTTCAGCCCAAAATAATATAAAAAACGTGAAAATCACTAAAAGTAACCTAAAGTAACATGAAATATCAGTTTGTTACAAATTGCGACAGAATTGCAAGATTGACGCAAACTGGGTAATTTACCAAAAATGACCTCAATTAAGCTTCTCTTGAACCTGAATGATGTTTATCATTCCTTGATAATCATTCAAGCTTCGATTTGCTTGTTATATGTTGTTTTCAGCCCAGATCTGCTCAATAAGGCCATTTAAAGCTTCACGCATCTTCTTAGCTCTAGCTCGCGTGACTAGACCTCCTTCGGTGTGTAATGGATCACATGACGTAGTAGATATGCTGTCGTCTTGATTCCCATCACCAACCATGTTGTGTGGATAAATGTAGCCGTGTCTGGCCATGTATATAGAAATAAATGCTAGAATGAGCCAAAGGTAAAAAAAACCTTGACCCGTTGTCTATGACGCAACAAGAACCAGAGGTATAAAGTTGGTTGACGCCACACCCTCGAACAATTAAGAACGAGAATGATAAGTCAGGTTAGAACGCCACAAGAATAATCTTGATAAGTTCTGTAAAGTTCTGAAACGAACCA